AAAAAAAAAAATGAATGACGGCGGGATCGAACCCGGGCCGTCGGCGTGCTAGCCGAGCACGTTACCACTAGGATAACGAACTTTTACAATAATAAAATTTCCTTAGGAGTATATATATTGCAAAAGTATCGTTTTAAAAAATTGCTAATTTTTCAATTTTACTGGATATCTTTGCGATTTTCAAATATTCAGTTTTTAAATGATATTTCGATTGATTTGCCATTAACAAAAAAAAAAATTGGAATTATTTTGAAAAAAAAAAAAATGAATGATGCCGGGATTGAACCCGGGCCGCTGGCGTGCCAGTCGAGCACGTTACCGCTAGGACAACTTGCTCATTTAAAATAATAATTTCATTAGTAGTATATCTTCAACAGATTGAATTATTTTTTTCATTTGAAATTCCAAAAAATGCGGTTTCCTCCTTCCGCTCGTTGTAGTCAGCTAAATTTCAGTTAAACAAATAAAAACAAAACGCATTCATACCACAGAAAATAAAATTCAAACCGGAAGCACACGTGTCCGCTTGTAATTGACATAAAAACAAAAATAGTGTTATCCATGGAGATTTATATTTATTATTGAGTGGCATTGATCTCATTTCTTCATTTTTATTGCGAGAGGATAAATTAATTTTTCATTTTTTTTAATTAATAAGCACATGGCTGCAGCAGGCTGCATTATACTGAATTGATCCTTTCAATGCAATTCTCAACTCTAGCTCTAGGAATATGCTGAATTTACACGAAAGTATTTCCAGGTCGTGGAACTTTCCTCTGACCCGGTTACACTCTTTGAAATCTTGTAAAGAAAACGTTCAGTCGCGAATTTGGATCCAGCGAAATGGATCTTGTCTCAAATTCAGCAAGATGTGATAAGTATTTTTGAAAGACTGTCGATGCTCTAAAGAGATTGTGACTCAAACCGTTATCCGTACAATTTTAAGCTAGTTAATTCGCAGTGAGAATCTGAATCATCTCGTAAATTCAAAGGATTTAAATTGCAATAGTAATATCATACACCATTAATTTTTTTATTTCAATTACAGAACAAAATATCAGTGCCAATCCATTCAAAGAGATGTACGACATAAATAGAGTTCCATTCTCTAGAATAGCTGGCCGACTTTTAGCTGCATGGAGCATCCTTTCACCTGCTAATACGGAAATTTTCGTCGTTGTCAACTTAATATACCTTGACCGTTGTTTTTTAATGAGTATGACTCTTTGTTGCCGTCGATTCCTTGTTTTAGACGCCGAGGATTGGAGTTGCAAAGGATAATTGAAGGCGTATTGTAAAATTAAATGCCAATCCACATTGGAATTACTCGATTCTAAATCACAGCCCTCCAGAATATTTAGTTACAATATTATAATTAATTACAAAACGCATCTGGTTTAACTATTTATAATATTTCGTTGTAATTACTTGATTATTTAATAAATGATGATGAATGGATTTAAAAATCATCGACTCACTCGCGACTTGTGCGTTGAAGAACGCATCATCATCATGATTCATCATACTCGATTGTTAATTCTCTTATATGACGGAAAAGTAACAAGGGAAATGGGAGAAAATTTTCAAAGCTCATGATGTACTGTGAAACTTTCTTCTATTATCGATTTAAAATTCCCAAGACATTGTGCGTCAGTCGTAAGTTTAAATTCTATTCATTTACAATTGTAAAAATTACTCGAGTTTTCTATTTTTATTTCTGATAAGTACATGGTATTTTTCCAGTGACATGAACAAGGGTTTCTACATCCGACACAGATTGAGAAAATAGTTATTTCATACGGAACATAATCACATATTGCCGCGCGTCATTATGAGTTTCAAAATCGAGAGGCGAATATTCATTAGATTTAATCATGGCTTAGGCGATGGAAACAATTCGATAAGAAATTTCGGAGAGAAAGCAATTTTAAATCTTATAGTTATAATTACAAATTGGATAATTATAGAATATTATCCGGTGCAATACGCTGCGCTTCCAGGATCATTGACAATAATTTATTTTATTGTTCATACAAATTTTTCTTTTTCGCATTATTATAGATGAATTCATGCTGTCAGAGGAATCACTAGGAGACCTCTTCCATGGCACGTACCACTCTATTGTCACGTTTCTCCATATCACCCAGAAATTACTGGAGAATTTTCTTTCAGAGTTATCAGACAGGCGCCTAGACTTCTTGGAACATAGTCCATAATATGTGGGAATTCACCGAGTCGTCGGGGAACAACTCCACGAGTTGTCGGGGGCACAGTCGATAGTCAGCGTTCGAACAGTATAGAACTGGTTGCAATGAGAAGATCAAGATTTTTCGAATTCAAGGTACATCGAACTCATTGAGAAATTCCAATATCGACGAATGTGCGATTCAAAAGCTGTTAAAAAACAAAATTTCGTTATTAAATTCGTTTAAAAAATAATTTACTCTTTCGTTAAAAGTATTAAACATTTTCTATCAAGTGTGACAATTGTTTTCATCTCCGTGTTAGATCAATTACTCAAATTGTTTGCAGTGATTGAAATTTATGACAATTTATAACAATTTATGACGATAAATGCTTTCAATGGCTCATTAAACTCGTAGAACCGGTAAATCATATCGAGTCAAGTGTCATCATCTTCACAGGAGTAAGTACTGTTTTCCCCAGTATTTGTTTTGCAGTGTTAGAGAGAGTGCTGAATAAGAAATGAGTCCGAGTGTCTGAGACACACAGAACGTTTCACGTATGGACCAATTGGAAAGTTCACTTATGAATGAATTTTGGCATTCGCTAACGACTTACTATTCCAAGTAATGCATGGAAGTTCCTCCAGAAGAAAGCGCAGGATTAATCCAAGATTTGCATTCAGCTTAGACAACCCATAATGATCGTGAAAACAGATTATAATGCAGACTTTCTCGAGAAAATTGTATTATTATTATATTCCTTTCTCTCAACACTTGAAAACACAGCGAAATCATCATTGCGGTGAGATTATTTCGCTGATGCTGTAAAGAAGTGGTGAAACTCTGTCAATTGTCAATTTCTCTTGACTCTATCTCAACTTGCCAGTCAGTTGATATTTTCCTGCAGTGCAGATCCATTAATATTTCTCTTTATATCGCGCAGCACCTTTTGACGAGTTTTTAATTAATGAAAGAACGTCGGATATCTCATTTTATCAATCAAATGGTATTGCTACTGGAATAATAATATCTATTACAGAGGATGGATTTCAAAGAAGTGGTGAATGTAATCTCTGATGCTGTGGTGGTGATGGGTTTCTCGGTAATTTACATAATCGAGGCATTACTACGGGCTCTGATACCGCGGAGGTATCAGAGAAAAATTATAAAAGGGGAAGTGGCTTTGGTGACTGGAGGAGCTGGAGGAATAGGTAGACTCATTTCCATCAAACTGGCTCAACGTGGTGCATATGTTGTTATATGGGATATTAACGAACCAGGTAATTAATTATCGATATTAAATGCGTAATCATTGGGATACGCGTCAATGAGCTACATTATAATCCACCGAGTGGCATTCACATTTCCATTGCTGATGCAACGAGATGAAAAAAATCAATTAAATTCAGTGTCAGCTTTACCAATTGATGTGAAAGTTCATTGTTCTTATTCTCCGATTTTCCATTTATTCCGGTCAATTAAATTCATTCTATTCACTGGAGACAGTGAATTATCGGATTTTTTTTCATTGAAATCATGGGAAAATAATCGAGTTATTTTTCCAATTGGTTATTTGCCTCGGAGAAGTCTAGAGTTTCAGTTGTAACTTGTAAAATCCTTGATTAACTGGTACGATATTCTAGATTTATGGAAATTTGAGAGGATAAAAGTGAAATGTGAAGGAGCAATTTATCGTGACGAGGTCGACAGTGTATGACAATATTTTTTAGGCATCCAACAGGTTGTCAAGGAGATAAGAGCATTTGGTGGAAAATGCATAGGATATACTTGTGACATCACCGACAGAAATCAAATTTATCGTATTGCGAAAACCGTGAAAATTGAAGTTGGAAATGTACGTGGAAATGATCATAAATCAAAATTATTCTCCGCTTCACGCTCAATTCAAAGACATGAAAAGACATTAAATTTATTGTTTAGGTAACAATTGTGGTTAATAATGCTGGGTATATATGTGGAAAAACATTTATGAACATTCCCGATGACGAGATAGAGAGGACTTTTAAGGTCAATATCCTCGCACATTACTGGGTACGAAAATTAATTAAATTGAGAGTATTAATAAATCAGTGGACGACAGGTGATTGAGTGAATTCGTTATTTCTATTACAGATAAATAAAGCTTTTCTGGAAGAAATGATGAAGGATAATCACGGACATATTGTCACGATTGCCAGTGTCGCTGGATTAATGGGGACTTATAATTGCACTGATTATTCGGCTACTAAATTTGCGGCCATTGGTTACCACGAGAGTCTCTTTACAGAGCTCAAAGTAAGCGACAACTCATTGCAAATCTGTTGAAGATATGTGTAATTGTTATGCAATTACTCATTTGCATAATTGTTTTGTTATGAATAGATGCATGGATACGATGGCATTCAGACAACTCTCGTGTGTCCTTATTTCGTCAACACAGGAATGTTTCCTGGAGTCAAACCGAGGTAAATTATTTCGTGAGGGCTAATGCAAATGATTTATCATATACTCCATAATTTTTCTGTTCGTCTCAGATTGCTGCCTCAATTGGAGCCTGAATATGTTGCTGAAGAGGTCGTCCAAGGGATATTGACTGATCAAGTTAATGTTACGTTGCCGTCCAGTGTCAAATACTTTGTACCTCTCAAGAGGTGAATTTTTCTCCACATTATTAATTAATTTAAAAATCATGACAATTAGGACGAAAAATTACTGAAATATCTTGATATCGTAATTTAAATTCTTGTCTACCATTTCACATCGGCAGTTATTAGATTTTCATCACTCCCGAGTGATGGTCTTGCATAAAAATTTCTACGTGCCTGGATATTGAAGGTCATATGAATTTGTAACTTTGGTCAAAACGAATTGTCGAAATGACCTCGAGTTTTGAATAATGGATGGAGTATAATTAAAATTCAATTCATGAACAATTTCCAGAAGGGAACATTTATGATCGGATTAATAACATGCGGGAAACATTGGATTTAGTCAAGTTGTTTTGTCTGTTGCAGTTGGCTTCCACCGAAAGTTTCATGGTCCCTGATGTATACCCTTTTGAAAGGTCCCCAAACCATGATGATGCTTAATAAATACGAAAATAATGATACGTATGAGGGTAAAAAATTAGACTGCGAGGATGCAAGAAGAAATTCGCGATACGAACAACTCACAGACTTCGAGCATATATCATCAGCACCAGCCATGTAAATGAATCATCGAATTATAAGACTAATTGTATATTTCACTTGAATATCTGAGTTTTTAAGATTTATGTATAGAAATCCTTTACATTTGTTTTCTTATTAAAGTCTATTTTGTATTGCTCACTCATTACTTTCATCTGATGAGGTTGGACTACTACTTATAGGAGATCGTAGAAGTAATTTAGGCCCTGACCAAGCTCCCAGATGGATAAACCTGTTCCAAGCTCCCTAGCAAGATCAATTCGTTGCTGTAGGGAGTATAATGTTGGATAGAAAATAAATCCACTTCCTGGTGATCTGAAACGATTGTAAAGTAAGAAAAAATTTAATAATCCTTTTTTATATTTATGGCAGGTGAAAAAATTTGATGAAAATATTTTACTTTGACTCAAAAAAGTGTTCCTTGCTTCTATCATCCCACTGAATTTTTCCTTTGTATGATTCAAGTATTTTCAGGTACTGCGAACCCAGAATAGGTGCCCCACCTTCTGGAGCATAATTATTTCCATAGAAGTTCAGTCCCATGAGAATCTGTGATCTCCTGGGATCATCGTCATCGGGAACTAGTTTCTCGACACACTCTCTGACCCACTCCAGAGGAGCATTGGGTCCGGGCCGTTGAAAGTTTGAAAAATCATATGTCATCAAAGAAAAATAGTCAACATGAGACGCTAGTTCCTCGAAGTACGCTTGAGAAAATATTTGATTTTCAGGGCTGTAACGACAGTATTCCATATTATCATACAATTAAATAATGAGTAACTGAACAAATAAAGGACGTACCCTCTTGCTGGTGGGATAGCCAAAATGACTTCTAAATTTTTACTCTTGAGTCTTTTACCCAGGAATTTTATTAAATTAACGACAACTTTTGTTTTTACTCCAGTGAAAACGAACTGGTTCCAAATTTCTAAAACGTAACCGTGAAATTGGAATGCTTTAGCTGTCTCAGCAAGTGCAGACACCAGCTGTGTTTTTTTCTGGTTGTCGTTACTGAGGGTTGCTATCTCATCGGGAGTCCACTCTTCGAATAATAATCGAGGTAAGATCCTTACAGTATGGTTACCATCATTCAGCGATTTCATTTCTTTCAGCCATTTTTTTTGAACATCGTGGGTGGGTATTTGAAATTTTTTAACATTCCCTCGAGGAAGACTCAACCATACTGGAGAAACGGTTGTCAATTTTCCGTGGAATGTTTTAGATATTTCTGAGCCATCCGCATTCCACTGCGATTTTCAAGTACTCGTTAGGTGAAAAAAAAATAAAGCAATTGAAGGACATTCGACTCTTCATTCTACTGAAAATAATTACCGGTGTTATGTATCCCAACACTTCACCAGTGAACTGTCGAAAATTTGTATCCTTGTAGTACAGCCCAGACTCACGTAAAATGTCAATGGGCTTAGGCTCTTGGACGACAAGACCTCGATCAAAGACATTTTGATTCACTGGTCCTTTCTACTCCCCCAAAAAAATAAAACAAAATCCAAAACCATCTGTTAGAAATAAATCAATAGAACATACCTTGCTCTCAACTTTTCCCTTATCTCGTCTATGTTTATCAGTTGGTGGAGATAACGTACAAGTTGCTGTACCTAGCAAGAACCACAAACTGATTTTTAAAATCCATAGGCTCATAATGACATGAATGAAATGCCAATAGTAAACACGTTACTACACTTGTTTTTGTTTCATTTATTCTAATCTGTCAGCCGATGACACCTGCACATTATTGTTTTCATGTAGCTGCACTGAGGCCTGAAGAATTGATTTTTTGAATCTCCTTAGGAGAAGATGGCGGTTTGATCGTGCGCCTTCTGCGCAGTCAATATGACGCAATGATTTTTAACTGCTGGGGTTTTATTTACACCTGAAATATCCAAGTGACAAATACCTGAAAGATGGCCAGTATGTCAAGGTGAATTAGAATATTTTCCTCATTGTTAACAAACCCCTCGGTCGTAAAAAATCACTATAGCCGTGATAAAAATGGTGAACTAGTGATAAGATGTGAGGGGAAGGCGGAAATCGATATGACAGTTCTAAAAATGAGGTTAAAGTTTCATTCCAGAGGCGCAATTCCCTGAAAAATCCACCCCAAACCTCGATTTTCTGTGTGAATAATAAAAAACCATAGGAACCCTCTCTCAACAGGTAGTCCCTGGTCTCCCATTATTCAATGAATAATTCTACACCTGGAGGAAATTTTTTTCCTATTAAAAAAATCTCTTTGTTGCAGAAAGAGTCCAGCCCTAGGTTATGTTTTAATTTCCCTCCCAACTTGAGCCTCTTCGTTGAATAATCTAAAAATTCCCGGAATAAATCTGGATAATTAATGAATTAATTAATAAAAATCAATTGTTATTGTGCTTTTGGTGGATTTTTCAGAATTGATGGGGATAGAGTTTGTTGCTATGCACATCCAGATGCACCGTTGATTGAGGATTACAGGGCTGGTGATCAGATTTGCTCAGAGTGTGGACTAGTTGTTGGTGATAGGTATGATTATCATGTTAAAAATGATATTGAATTCAATATTAAGTGATATTCTTCCTCCATTTTTTAATTCAACAAATGTTTATTTGCACGGGTGCTTTTTTAGAGTTATCGATGTCGGATCCGAGTGGCGAACATTTAGCAATGAAAAGTCAGGGGTTGATCCCTCTCGTGTGGGAGGACCTGAAAATCCTCTCTTCAGTGGCAATGATTTATCCACCATGATTGGTCCTGGCACAGGTGCAGCTTCCTTCGACGCTTTTGGCAGTGCGAAATATCAGAATCGACGCACTGTAAGTTATTTGATTACTAATACATAATTAATCTTTCAATCCAATTCGTCGGAGCCTTTGAATTAGTCAATTACGAATTATTGTCGAATGATCTTCAGATGAACAGTTCTGACAGAGCCTTGAACAACGCGGTTCGTGAGATAACAGCCATGGCAGATCGTATAAACCTTCCAAAAACAATTGTCGATCGTGCAAATAATCTCTTCAAGCAAGTCCATGATGGTAAAAACCTGAAAGGTCGTTCGAACGACGCCATTGCCTCAGCCTGTCTATACATAGCTTGTCGTCAAGAGGGAGTTCCTCGTACCTTCAAGGAGATCGTTGCAGTCAGCAAAATCAGTAAAAAAGAGATTGGTAGGTGCTTCAAGCTCATCTTGAAGGCCCTCAAGACCAGTGTCGATCTCATTTCAACGGGCGACTTCATGTCGAGATTTTGCGCCAATCTGGGGCTTCCTAATATGGTCCAGAGGGCTGCCACACATATCGCCAGGAAGGCGGTTGAAATTGATATCGTACCTGGCAGATCTCCCATTTCAGTAACTGCAGCTGCTATCTACATGGCTTCACAGGTATGGCAAATCATTTTGAGTGGAGGGAATTCTTGTTGATTTTTTTTTAAATCACAGATTGTTAGAGTGAAATTTTTTATGGGTTGATAATGGAATTTTGTCAGGCCTCGGAGGAGAAGAGATCACAGAAAGACATCGGTGATGTTGCTGGAGTGGCTGATGTGACAATCAGACAAGCTTACAAGCTCATGTACCCTCATGCTGCTAAGCTCTTCCCTGAGGACTTTAAATTCGCCACACCCATCGATCAATTGCCCCAGATGTAAAGAATTGCTGGTAAAATTGTCCTTTAGTAAGTATTAAACTGGAAAATCTCCTATCAGTCGATTGGAAAAAAATTATTAATACATTTCCTTGAACTTTTCAGCTTACATTCCCGGCAAACTCACGAAACCAGAGCGCTCTAGAAAAATTGAACCTTAATTCGGGAGAAGGTTAACGTTGTTATTAGACTGAATAAGGAATGGATATTAATTTAAAACTTGAAAAATACGAGACGATATCGTGGGGCTTCTCATCGTCTAGCACACCAATTGAAGTATATTGTTAAAATAATCCACAAATAAGCTCAGTTAACGATAAAACCTGCATCATTTTCTAAGATTCCCCTATTCTTCAAATATCAAACTAAAAAAAAATCCACTTTTTCCTCTATCCTTAGTGCTCACCTTAATCATTAACTTTCATTGATGGTGAATGGGTTCATTACTAGTTTAATTATGAAAAATGTTTATGAAAGAAGGTATTTTCTGATTGGAGTACAATCGATATTGTATTTTTATTATTGTACGGAAATACGAATTTGTAAAGAGGCAATAAATATTGCATAATTTCCATTGTATACTTGACATGTCTTTTCGTTTAAAAATATTCTTCATGTTATGATTCTCATGAAAAAATTGCGCAATATAAATTTAATTTACTGAATTTCACCCACTGGAATAATTAAAAATCTTTGACTTCGCGTGCCTCAAGCAGAATCACAACATGAAAAATCTAAATAGTTAATTCTGTTTGCCCTCGAAATAATAACACAGGTTCCGTCTTCAGTTCTACAGGGTCCACTGACCACTCGTGACGTGTTAATTTTCGAGTGTTTACCAACGATAATTGACAATGGGATTGAGCAATTAGCCGAATCATTCTCACGCAACGAATGTTTATTGTTTATTCACAAGCATCACCAAGTGATTTAACTCGATTGACGATGGAAAAATGTGTTTTTCTCAAGAAACTTCAATTTATTCCCTAGACTAATTTTTCATTCTCAAATAATTTTGGACTCCCAGATAACGAGTAGTGTCATGCCCCCGTACATCTGCAATTACAATGAAAATTATACGACATGTACAGAGTCACAGTACTACAATCAGTCTCCCAGAGTCCACAGAAATAGATGGAACCGGAACAACCGAAGCCGAAATCAATCCCGACCCTTCGAATCCGGATATTCCTTGGATCCCCATTTCCCCTGCGTCTCTCGAGAAATTCGCGAGAAGTGGCTAATAAATTTAACCGAGGAATACATCCCCGACGACGTCCTGGACGTCGCCTGTCTGGGAAAAAAATTCGGTGTACCCATAATCCGAAAGAAGGATATCCCAGTGTCCAATATAATCGCGTCGATAGAATCCAACATGAATATAATCGAAAAGGATCAGCGAAACGCTATCCGCTCGATATGTGTGGATGTAATTTCGAATTTTCTACGGCAAAGGGTCACCCCGAGGTTTCCCCAGCTCCTGGAGAAGGTGAAAGCGGCTAAAATATTCAAGATATCTCACCCGGATATAATTTTCCTCAAAGCTGATAAGGGAAATGTCACAGTGGCTGTCAACAAGAAGTTCTACGTCTCGAAGATGTCGGAATTACTCGGGGATTCTTTCACCTACAGAATCATTCGATCCGATCCCACCCTGGATATCCAGAAAAAAGTCAATAAACTCCTGGTGAAGTGGTATAAAAACAATTTTATAAATGACGGTAAGATTACTATCCCAACTGAATATTTTGTTTCGGTTACCAAAGAATTTTCCCTCTGTGATTTACACAAAGATCTTTGACAAAATTTTCAAGCTGAAAAATCGAGACTCTGGTCGAGAAATGGTCACATCGCCCTGTCATACGGTCAGCCGAAGATCCACAAGAAGAACATCCCCTTCAGGATGATTGTCTCCTTCATAGGCACCCCCACGTATCGCCTAGCTAAATACATCCAGAGAATTCTAACTGATTGCATAAAGGAGGAAATAAAATCTTTCACCTCGAATAAAGTGTCAATAACGAATAGTTTATCGCTGGTAAAAAAAATCAGAAGCCTCCACCTCCCCGAGGACTTTGCGATGATCTCCATGGACGTGATATCTCTCTTCACGAATATTCCCTTGGCCCTCGTGATTTCGGGTATAAAAAGCCGCTGGAAATTGTTAAAAAAATACACCAAGATAAATCAGGAGCTATTCATCGAGGCAGTCATCCTCTGCTTCAACGCATCAGCCTTTCAGTTCAATGGAATAAAATATCAACAGGTTTTTGGAGCTGCCATGGGCTCACCTTTGTCACCAATCATCGCTGAGATTGTTCTCCAGGACCTGGAGAATTTCTGCATGAAGAAACTCGACTTCCCAGTGTATTTCTACACCAGGTACGTCGACGATGTCCTCGCGTTTGTCCCCAAGGATCGAATTCAATCAATTCTCTCCTGCTTTAATTCCTATCACAAGCGTCTCCAGTTCACCCTCGAGAGGGAGGAAAACTGCCGGATTAATTTCCTCGAGGTGACGCTCATCAGGAATAAACGGATGATCGACTTCGACTGGTACAGAAAACCCACGTCCTCTGGACGATATCTCAATTATTATTCTCATCATCCCAAGGGACAGAAAATTTGTACGATTTATAATTTGATTGATCGAGGTCTTTTACTCTCGAATTTGGAGTTTCATCTCAAGAATTTAACGTACATCCAGGAATCGCTTGTACAGAATGGATATCCTCGGAAGCTGGTGCTCAGGGCTGTGAGCAGACGTCAGGCACTTGTTCTCAATCCTAAGAATTATTATTCCGATGATTTCCGCAGGCACAGGAGAATTAATGAGCACAGGTGGGGAGAATTCGAGAAGAAAATTGATTAATATTATGGGAATTTATAATGAGAGATAAAAATTGATATTATTAATGATTTCTGTAGGTGGGTCACTCTGCCCTACGTCGAGGGCCTCTCGGAGACTCTCCAGTCTAATCTCCAGGGGTTTAGATTCTCTTTGAGCTTCAGAAATGACAGCAATCTCCGTTGGCTCTTCACTGGTCACAAGGACAAGTTGCCGAGGGAGAATCAACTCAACACTGTCTACAAAATTTCGTGTCTCGAGTGCAAGTTCATCTTCATCGAGCACACGAAACGATCCCTCGGGGACAGGATTAAGGAGCACTACCTCAGTCTCCGACAGCCTCACAATTTTCCAATATCCAATCGATTGACCGAGCATGCCTTTCGATACGCCCACGATTTCGATTTCAAAGGTGTCGAGGTACTCGCTGTCGAGGGTAATTACGAAAAGAGGGAATTGCTGTCTCTTATTTACAAAGAGCGCTATTTACCGCAGATCGATGGATCTGGGGACAGAATTTCTGAGGTCAGCATCTACTCAGGATTATTTAATCCTTGAATATAGGCTACTGAATTTTTGAAAAATTTATTGGAATCTAAGAGAGATAATCGAGTTAAAATTTATTCATGTCAAGGAGTTTGAAATGATTTATGAATTACCGTGGAATTTCGAGAGCTTATGCATGGACTCATCAGATTTATTGGTTGTGGGTTTTTGAGGGGGTGGACGCATGAAAAAAATTCATAGAAAAATATAGCGGTTTTTTTGAGAATTCATTTATGATTGGAGAAAATTAGATTTTACCACTCGAATAGTGATCTCATTAAATATTTTTATCAAAGCCTCTAGGTTTTTCTGTTAATTATATTTCTACGTTTACCCAAGGCTAATGAGTCCGCGGACATGATTAATGCTCTCAGCAATATTTATGTGTGATATTAATTACGAAATTGAATATAATAATTTATATTGGCTGTTGATTAATATTATATATTAAATTAATATAATCCCATCGTTATACAAATATGAAAAAATAAATTCACTTGTGTTCAAGAAATAAATTAATACAAAATGATATTTTCTCAGTGATGAAGCAAATAATTCTCAAGCCCAACTATATCATCACTCAAAGATATCCCTCTCTAATGACTCCTTCACTATTAACACACATGAACTAATTGCAACACATTGCAATTACTCGAGGAGAAAAAAAAAATGATATATAATAAAACAGTCCTTGGCAGTTGTGCCACTATCCACACCATCTCCATTGTACGGTACGTGGCATTGAATTGCGTTTGCGTGCAGCTGTCGCGTATTCATCCAGCTCTGTAACACGATAATGTCACAAAACTTTAATTCCGTGTAAGTATATAAAATCATTAAGAACGTTGGAAATCTCTCGTGACAGCCGATGGGACCGGTTGCGCATCAATAGCGCGTTTTATTTTTTTTTCTTTTTTCGCTATTCACTCGAGTTATCTGATGTCATTCATGCATGCGACGTGTCATGACTGATCTTGACGATTAAAAAATACTTCCAACAACTCCAACTTTTTTTATATCGTATTCACAAAAGTGTTCCAACTTTGCCGATTTTTTCAAGCGGTTGAACAATTTTTTAATATGTTTAATTACGATTCACGCGATTTGAAAATATTCTCATTTTATTCGCGTAATTACGAGATTTTTATTCAGATAAGGGAATTAATGCTGATTAATTTATAATTAATAGATGGAGGTGGGAATTTCAAGTGACATTTGATTTTTTTTTTATTTATTTAGCTGATTGAAGTTGATTGAAGACTTTTTTTTTAATGTCAAAAATGATGGGCGTGTGGCCTTATTTGTTATGAATCAGTATTCAAGTGATAGTTTAGGGCATTAAAAAACGTGATTTTCATGCGTTTAGTACCCGGCGTTTGTACAGTGAAAGTGGTATTTCCGTTGGGTGCCCCACCTCTGAAAATCGTGCACCTCGTGTATGTGTGACGGGTTTTCTGTTGTTGAACTACACGCGAGATATCCACGGGGAATCAAATCGTCCTCAGCTCCGGACACGGAAGCACGTGTTCAATTCATTGGCGCCGATTTTAAATGCAGAACTGATAAAGTGATAATCGCGGGATGACATCGATTTTTTTGAGATTGTCGTCGGGTGCGTGAGGATTGTTTCGTTTTTTTTTTTATCATTAGTGTAACAGAAATTAGGGGATCGACTAATTAGTCTGGAGAATGATGAGACTCCTAGTTCACCTACACGTTGTGGTAAATAAAAAATTATATTTTTATACGGAAATGATTTATTGGACCCTTTCTTTTTATTTGACACACCGATTTATTATTTTCAATAACCGTACCAATTATTTATTTTACTGATAATTTCTAGACTAGTGGATCGGCGCAAAAATTCCATGATCTCATTTCGCCTATTGTAATACTTCTCCGACGCCTTGATCTTAATAGTTTTTAGAAGTGATTTTTTTACGGCGTTCCAAGTTTTTCAATGCTACTTAGTGATTCAGAATCGTTAGCCGAAATAATGGAGCCGAATCCGGGCTGACTCATTGAGAATTTTAATACGAATTCGAGACGAGGGTAAAGGCATTCAAATGAGAAAATAATCCGTGATTGACGACCGTGAAAAAAAATTCGGAGACAATGGAATTAATTGTTCTCAATTGCACTCAAGGTTTCTGATAATAAACAAATTAAAAAATTGGCGAATAAAAAATTTCCGTATTTTCCCCAGTGAAAAATTTTCCATTAACGAATGAAATAATTGATTGGAATTATTGGATGGATTATAATTTCCGCGGGAAATCAGCAGCTAAGTAATAGTCAGAGACTGATAAGCAATTGAGATAGAATTGATTGGAGACGTCTGATCCAGGAGTGAATGAATTCGAACGATGAAAAAGCCCGGATGATAGTAATCCTGTCGAGTCAAATTGCCGAGTGGAAACTCTTTAATTTACTGGGGTACCATTAGTCGTAATGACGAGGAAGGGATTCAGCTCGAAAATTTCTGCTCAGTCGAGTGGATGTTACAACGTTTGACTACTTTACTCATCTTTTGCAGGTACTGGTGGTGGAGGGTTCACTGGGTGGATGGCGTGAACCCTGTGGTTCTTACGGATGCCCACACCAACCTCGTTATGAACCTTTCGTTCCTGCACCACCCGGTCATACGCCCCGTTGCGCCAAGCCTGGACAAACCTTCTGTGAAACCCTTGAGCATTATCCAAAGTCAGTACTTCATTCAATCATTCACGTATTTATGTTATTTTTTGAATAGCTCGAAATTCAAGGGAGATAATGCCATTTTCATAAATACCTTTTTTGTAGATCCCATCTTTTTCTATAAAAAATATTTAAGAAAAAAATTCGCTAAGTACCTTTAATTTCGAGATATTGGTGGAAAACTGACAGCGAAAAAAATGCAGAATTCGCGATGATCAAGGGATCATGTGGAGCTATAAAATCATAAATTATTCAAGAAGCGTCGGAGTTATTCTTCACGAATAAAAAATATCCGGCGAAAGAAGTGGAATTGTAAAATAAAAATTAAGAAACAAATAATGATCACGAGACTCAAGTGAATGTAGTACGTGGAGACAAATAGCCCACAGGCAATACACTGAATAAATAAATTTAAATTGAGCGTTAGAGGATTGACTTAATGGTACATTAAAAATATATACATACGTGTGGATACAAAGGAGTCAGCAGGTTGATGTCTGAATAACGGTCACGCGAATTAGAAAATATATTTAGGCATGAATCATGAATTAAACATTCTGACAATGCCATGATAGTGCGAGTCGAGTGGAGAAAGCTGAATGTAGCTTATCTCGAGTAGAAAAAATACGATTTGATAAGACAGGATTCCACAGTAATCATTGATGATCTCCAGCGAAAAAACAACTTGTGCCTGGCAAAAATAAATTTAATGCAACGTGGGGACAATTTATCGAAAAATTTATCGTGAGGTTTAATAATCGAGTTGATTGAATTCCAATGGAGCTTGGAATGGAGAGGAAAATTATGTATCGGGAGACTTGACGATTTTTCAAATTGATGAGAGAATGGTTGTATGATGTGAATCCTCTTGGTTAAAAACAGTTTTATCACTCACTTTCTAAGTAAATGAATAGCAGGAAAAGTTGAACGGAAACATTCGGTATTTGCTATTGTTATTCACATCTGTTACAGAATCCATATTTATCTATCAGTGGCTGGAGGTAGAAAACTAACGAATAAACAGAACAGTTTCTCCTCTACTGCCCCTGAAGTTTCGAATTTCGTAATTCAAAAAAGTTATGAGATTCTCGAAAATTTAACTCCGTCAAATACAACTCTAAATCAATTAATTAAGTATCTTATTAATTAATTTTAATCGGCAATGGGATAATTACCGAAAATCGGCGAGAAAAATTCCCTTTTAATTCATAGAAAGCCCAGAACCGGTAATACGAATGAAAGTTGAAATGAAAGTTCCCACCGATTCATCGAATTCGGAAAAAAAAATCGAATTACAAATGCGTTTTTATTAAAATAAATATTACACGGAGCGATTATTCATCGTACATAATAGTTGAGTTGAAAGCCGAAACGCTCGATTGCCTCTGAAAAGTGATAGTGATTTCCATTTCACTGAACATCGAATTATGATATCAAATTGGATTATTTATCCAGTTACGGATGATCAGGTTTACTCAGCCATTAATCTCAATTGCAGACAGTTGATTAAATTTCTGGTGGACAAGTGCAGCTACGACTTCTCGTCAGTTCTGAGGGATGAGTCGATCTACGGCTTCAATGTTTACAGGTAAAAGCCTCAGAGAAATATATTTCAATCGGCAGTATTGCGTAAAGAGATAATCTCATTCTTGCAGAGCAAAACCCGATTACAATCACGACAACGTGTATCCGAGGCAGGAAGTGCAGAAGGTTTACAACCAGCCGAGCTCATACCCCGTTGTCGATCAGTCACCCATGGTTTATGGGCCCCTAGCCAATGATAGTGCCAACCAGGGGTGAGAAATTCAGGGAAATTCCTTCTGTCAGGACATGAAATTATTTTATATTGTCCAGGTATACGTACAGAGCTCCTCTCGCCAATCACCAGAATCCACTGCTTCTGGAGAATTCTCCAAGATTTCAAAGAGGACAAACCCTCGCTGCTGAGTGGATCAGGTGAGTTCTTCAGGATGATATCTGAATTTATCTGAATGTGAGCGAACCTTTCAGACACACGAGACGAGAAACACCAGAGACAGATCGTTCCTACCGTCAGAATCCATTTTTACCCCGAGAAAATCATAATCGCGCTACAAGACAAGTCTCATCTGAACCGATATCTCTCTGCGAGACAAACTCTCAATATATAATGCCCCGAGCAGCCCTGAATAATCGTGGAAATTGGATGTACGTTGTGAATCTTCCTGAGACGCGTGAAAAGTACTCGCAGTTGGTGAAGTCCGAGACTTGCTCGTAAGCCCGACGAATGGATAAACAATTATTTTCCTTTCAATTCCTGCTTCATTAAAAAATATATATCAATTCGATTAACAGGACGACAACGTGCAATGGAATTTGCTCATTACCAGAGGGTTACGTAAGTAGATGTGAGCAGCAGTACATTCAGAAGAGATTGGTGGCCCTAGAAGGCAGTGGAGATCGTCTGTACACGGATGTCTTCTGGTTTCCCCACGGATGCGCCTGCCAGGTAGTCCAGAATTTCTAGTAACCAAAGACTTGATCCGAATGAACTAAAATCAAAATGAAAAATCAAATATCGGTACCAGTGAATTTTCAATAACATGTTGACCAAGTTGAAGAAGCCCCAAGAGTTCGATGACTCGTCGATGAGGTGACCAGTGCATTCAGAGAAAGCCGTTCAACGGATGTCATGAATAATGTATTAACGATGACACGTTTAAACCAGTCAGTCTCTTTCAGTGGATTTACTCATCCGCGAATTAATTCACTGGGATTTTCATTGTCAGACATATTTTCAAATGTCTTCTATTATCGAGTACTTGCTGACTCAATGCCCCATTCTATCGCCTCATCGATGCCCATTCGATTATTCACCAGTCAATGATCAGTGGACTGTCATATCCAGCATTCAAATTTTTCCTGATAACGCGGGAATTTCAGTCGGTAAGGAAGGATTTATGACTTGTCAATTACACTGGAGATGACGACACTCGAGATTTTTTGACAGCAATCGAAAGGTAGAGGGTAATATTTGAAATGATCAATCGATATTCTGTATTTATCTCGATCTTTCAGTCTTTTCATTATTTATGATTTTTATTTCTATTTATGGTAAGAGTATCATCCAGTATCATTTCCTTTCGAATGTCTCAAAAATTATTAGTTTGTGTTATTTATTGTACTTTTGTGATAAATCGCAGGATTAATTGATACCGTGACAATGAAATATTCATTTAATTATTTCGTATTAAATATATTGAATTTGTTGTGTAATGAATATATAATAGTAATGGAAGTGATGAGAGATCTAGTTTGTACGAGTGATAGAGCTTCCTTCATTGTTCACATTCTTATTTTATAAATAAATAGTCTGACGGACTTCTAAAAAAAAGTTGCAACAGATTGATATCCGTTGAGATGGAAAAATTCATTGGACGATAAAATAATGGAGAAAATAGGTTTTACCCATATCCCACAAAGAAAGAGCCTGTACGTCCTTTGCACACGCATCGGTCACCTTTGCGTCTTCACTGACGTACTTTGGACCCCTCTATTTAACACTCCTTTCTCGTTTCCACTCGACCCCGAGTTGCACTACTTCAATCGTGCAATTCTTTTTTATCCCCCGCAGCATTCGAAAGGGGCAATGAGCAGGGACCTAAGGTGAACAAACTATTGAGTACTTTCATCACGAGGAATTAAAATCCCCTTAATTACCCCATTATAACGATTCACTTCTAATTACTGATTTGGGATAATAAGGATAAGGATAATAAATAAATAATTCCTAGAACATGTTGAGAAAATTTTTATTAAAAAAATGGAAATAAATGGAAATTTATTTGAGAGATGCACTTGTTCGATTGTCAGCACCTGTTAAAAATTGAGGGAAAATTAGCGATTGCATGGGTTCTTGTCCGCGAAAGGGGCAGCAATGAGAAGAGAGAATTTCTGAAAAGGGAGAGAGGGGAATGAAAATAGGGCTGGGCTTGAAGGGCTTCCATTATATGCGTACAGGCAGCCCTACGCAACTCGAGTCCTGTGGATATATTTTTCTCTCCTCCAGCTCGTTGCACTCGTTGCTAATAGGCACTGGGATAACGCACATGATTCCCACCATTTGCCCATGTACCTGAGTTATATACCTGCTACATGTTCACAATTACATCCTGCAAGTACCATTGGGCTTGTTGTTACTATGGCCTCTCTAGCTGTGCAGTTCCCCTGTCCAACCACCGAAGGATTGAGGACTTTTGCACTCTTGCTGTGAGAGTTGAAATTTTCGAGTGTCCTCGGTGGGTGAGAAACCCCCTGGCCTCGCCCTCATCACATTTTCCCCCATTTTTATTATTTTCTCTCTTTCCACTCGGTTTTCTCCGTCTTACATCCACTTCTCGCATCTCTTCACTACCTGGGGACTCTGAGGTACCCTGGAACCTGGAGGATACTCTCTGCCTCTTCGAGTCGACAGCAAAACTTGTACCAGATGATAACGATTTTTATTTCATTTTTTCAACTGATGCTGATTAATATATCCGATGATTCCCTATTCTTTATTCTTATTCCATATTTATAATAAAATTTATTGGTTTAATAATTTGATGGGAATTTTTTCGTTGAATGTTTGAGAGAAAAAATATAATCCGTCAGTGGAGAATTCACCTCTCGACTGGGTATGGAGTCACGGGCAGTAATTATGAACGATAGGGTAGAGAAGGATATAATTGTGATTGATGGAGAGACGGAAGAGGGGAGAAACAGGGAGATGACTTCCTTTTAATCTTCGGGGGCCTAACCCTTTTGCCTCTCCTCTCATTGCCGTCGATATCGGGTCTCTGGTACTCACTGCCCCATCAGCCGCACTTGCGCGATTCCATTTACTCGACCAATGATCGAGAGTCGTCCGTCAACTCGAATAGAATCTCGACATCATTCATTACAACAGATAACGCAGTTATTAATATTTTTAACACTAGAGGAGCGAAACACTTGCACTTCCTGGGTCGTCGTTTATTTTAAAAGACTTAATTTATCGGTGAAATCATCAATAATTGGTGTTTAACGAATGGTGAATATTTTTATAAATAATATCACTCCGGGGAAGTGGAAGATCAGAGGAAGAGGAAGAGTGAAATGGGAATTTCATGAGGTGTTTACACGTGAATCCCTCTCTTCAGGATTTCGCTGTGGGGTGACACAGCCCCATGGCAGGAGTCGCGCAGTTCTGTCATACTTAACCCAAATATTTGCCACCCTCCGATAATTCCCTCCCACCATGACACCCCGAATTCATCGAAGAATCCCCCGCTTCTCCCTTCCCACCCCCTCGCGGAATCCGTGAGATATACAAGTTATTCTTTTTCTTTGAGTAATAGTGTCCTTGATAAAACTGAGAATACGTATTAAATTTAACTCGAACCTTGACGGCCCTGGGAAATTGATGACTAGCTGGGGAAAAAAATGCCCGGAAAACTACGCACTACGTTTTAGCCACGTGCTCCAAACATCTCCGCATTGTACGTGAAAATTTGCGGGGCATCGATCGCTCTGGAAGCGTCCAACGCCCACGCGCACACATTTTATACCAAGAGCAACGATAAACTCTATTTAATCCTAGATGGGGTCACCTCATGAGAAAAATGCCGTAACTACTGTTTAGGAATAATATTTTATGGTAAGTATGTGAGATTGGGTGCAGCTCAAAAAAATTGCGTGTGAAAAAAAAAATTCACTCGCAAATTATATTTTCGCAAATTTCCGTATCAAAAATGTCGTAAAAAATAATTTTAATTATTCATTAAAAAATTTTTAAATGAATAAAAGTAATTAATAATTAATGGATTAATATAATGAAGGGGAGTTGGAGTAATAAATTACAGTGGAGTATGATTATGTAATTAAAAATTCAAATGGTTCTGCAAGTATTAGAAAAAATGAAAAATGTGGCAGAGGGTGAAATTGGAATTTTTCCTTAGGTCAGCCTCCCCTTATTTTTCGTCCGGAAAATTGTAAACAGGACGAGTGGGAGGTGGCCGGGACACAGGAAACAAATGTTGAGAAAAAAAACGACGCAGATTGGTTCTCCTTACACGTGGAAATTGGCGGCGAAAATCGATTGCTGGTCTACGCAATGGATGAAGTTGCGAACTCATACCAGAGTTGTTGCACGCACAAATAAATGGGAGGGGGTTAGGCGGAAACGTGTGGGTCGCGATGCGTGCGCAAGCGGTTGATAAGAAGGTAAATAAGGGGTGGAACAGGGGGAAATGGACCTGTTCACAATTCCGAGGGAAAAATTTCGAATTTCATCTCACAAAAAAAATAAATTTCCAACGAGTTACTCACAAAATTCGAGAAATCTCTAATAACGACAATTCTAATAATTAATTACTGATTCCAATTAAATGAAAAACCTCCCCTTCACTGGGAAATTCCAGAAAAGACACATAATTATTATTGAATATTTCTCATTATTTTTCGTGACTGGAAAAACTGATGAGAATAAGAAAAATTGTTGATTTCGCTTCATGTGAGAGTAACCCGCAATTTCAGAGACCACAAGTCATAAATTCGGGGTGGGGCAAATAAAAAACAATACAACACGCACCATAACTCCTCGTTGTACCTCAGGAGGATAGAGGGTGGAGCTTTATTTTTTGGTGGGTGGTGAGGGGGTTGGTGATGTGAAGAGACTTCTGAAACGCGTGCAGCAGCCCCTTGTGCTTTCTACACACGATGTGCGCGTGTTACGCACCATGCTGATGCTGAAAATTTATCCCAGTTATGTTATATATACGAGAGACGTATTTCTCGTCACTGGTTTAGCCCACGAGTGTTGCGTTACCGCGCACCGTGGGTTACCATGACGACAACACACCAGATGGGGTGGAGGGTGGTAACGGGAGGGGGTGAGGGGGTTAAACCGTGAGGGAGAGGAAAGCCCAGTGGGGGCACGCATTGATCGCAGAATCCTATTGCGTCGACAGAGACCGTTACCATGAATTTCGAGACCGAGAGTCAGAGAGAGTGAGAGTTAGATGGGGTAAAGGGGGGAGGGGGTGGCGGGGGGTGGCAGGGGGTTGTACTTGGTACGCACACAAGTTTAATGACCATTGTACGTTAAAAATTTGCCGAGAATCCATTTGCAAAGACGCGAAAAGTCGGGATCTGTCGGGATCTGTCGGGATGTAAATTTTATTTTGAATTTTCTCGAACTGGGATTTTTTGAAAATTTTTGGAATTCATGGAAATTACAGTCACGTGATTACAATTGAAATTTTTAGGGTTAATGAGGTATGGGGAGAGTAATTGAAATGAATTTGGGATTTGAAAATTTTTTGAATATTTTCTTGGGCTGTTTTTTGACTAATGAGATTAAATCGGTGGATTTATTTTGAATGTATGAATCTATTTGAATTTTATGAATAACCCGAGCGTGAAATTTGCATGAGCTGCACAACCGGAATAATTGAGCTGGTGAGATCGATGGAAATTGAATGAGAGTGCAATCAAATATTTGTTTAATTCCTTTTTTTTTTTCGGTTTCTCGGGAGATTTACAATGTAGATAAACGGCTGGCATTTGGGATCGATTATTCAGTGAAAGAGGAGTTGGGTACAGAGTCATCGTAAATCGTAAGTTGTAAGTCTGGGTGTGCTTTTTTTCGATGGGAATTCCAGTTGGTATTCCGTGAGACACAATGACGATGTTAAAGCACCATTGGGCAGTCCCGCGGGACAAACACTGCAGGACACGAATGAAACATTACAATGGACATTCACACGGAGTTTTATTGGCGATTCCTTTGAGTCGACTTTGAGAATCTCCTGTGGGAATTTTATAATATTACACGACTTCCATTTTCTCCAGGTTCTTGCGAAATTGAAGGAATAATTGCACCCGGACGACCACAGAAAATGAAAAAAAATCAAGCACTGGATTTTTTTTCATTTTTTTTATTTTCAAATTTCATTTTTCTGGAGAAAAATTCACTGAATGATTGGAATTTGAAATTGAAATTTTTCGTTGCAATCGGTAGTTGAAAAAATAAAATAAAAATCATGTGAAAATTGACACTTGAAAAATTTTTTGAAAAATTCATCAACCGCGCAATAATGAAAATTCCTGGAAAAAGTGAAGAGTTCTGAGTAGCGGATCGACTGCCGATCCCTATTAATGGTGAATTAACCCTTTGAGTAATAAATGGAGTAACTTTAATTTTTTGCCGTATGTGACCCTCAACCAAGTCCAAGTGAGGAAAGCCGAAAGTAAATTTTGTTCTCGATAAAAAGGATTTCATCTTTTCTCTGTGCTCATCAACCCGTAAAAGGCACGTGTCCACCCTCCGATGTCGGTCAATGTTGTGCCCGGTTGATGGCGAAAGCTCGTCCCACAATCGGAGGAGAAAAAAGGGA